TCCTTTGCAAATAATCTTCTAACATGCAACAGAATAAAAGAGTTTTGTTTCATTCCTCTTTAACACAAAGTCCCATGAATGATAAATGGAACAGCATAAATTAAGGCAGCAATCCTATGCACAATTTCCAGGTGAACTTTTTCTGAGTAGGTATTCATAGAGTTGCATTTTAAATCCAAATGGCATAGTAGTGCAACAATTAATACGGCAGCTAATGAAGAAGTAAAATGCTATGGAATTACTGCTAGGTAAAATGTAAAGTGTGATAATGAAAAATGCTAGCATATCATGTAAATACAGGGATGAGATTCTAACATAAAATAACTACAGATATGTGCCAGAATTAAAAGGGAAGCATTTGTTTTGGCATAAACTTTGGGACAAATTTATACTGAGATAATCTTTTGGTGTAGCACATTCCAACTATTTTTATAGTTTTACTATATTCTATCTTAATTCTGACAAATCCTCAGCCCTATTTTAACTTCACTTGTCCTGCATTTTCATTCCACATTCCAGCTAGCTTTTTCCTCTGTACAGTATAGCAGTCTTGTGGAATCTATGTAGTATCCCACATCTCTTTATACTGCAGTACATATCAGAGACATTATCACCACTACATATCTATGCAATCCCCATTTAAAAACAATTTTTCCTCACTATTATTCTTTATTATTTACATAGTAGTGCTCTTAAACTTGTACAACACTCATTTGTTTTCCAGTCTATTTTGCTCAACAAGTAAGCTGTAGTGGTTTCCTACCCAAAAAACAAACAATACTTGCGCAACTTGCTAAGAGTAACCCTGCAAGAGGCTTATGTGGTTTTGCTTAATTCATGCATTCTGTTTGCAATGAACCCCATATACTCTGAACTATGTTGGTCCTCTACCTCTCAGTATAGTACATGGGAAAACTAATGGAGCTAACTCAAGCAGTGTTGTCTCCATGACTCATTAAGGCAAGAGTGGGCAACAACAGCCCTCCAGATGTTGCTCTGAACTACAAATCTCATTATACCTCGTTGCTGAGTGGACTTGTGGAAAGTGTAAACTGAAAACATCTGAAGGACCACAGCTGCCTATTGTTCTTTTACATCATTTTAGATGGAACTAAAGTGTTGTGGCGAAGGGGCTTGAGTAATTCAGAGAAGCTATGGGCTATGCCGTGCAGGGACACCCAAGATGGACAGGTCATAGTGGAGAGTTCTGACTAAACACGATCCACCTGGAGCAGGAACTGGCAAGCCACTCCAGTATCTATCCCAAGAAAACTCCATGGACAGAAACAAAAGGCTAAAAGATGAGCCCCTCAGGTCAGAAGGCGTCCAACATGCTACTGAGGAAGAATGGAGGACAAGGACAAATAGCTCCAGAGTTCATGAAGTGGTTGGGCCAAAGCCGAAAGGACACTTGGCTGCGGACATGCCAGGAAGTGAAAGGAAAGTCTGATGCTGCAAAGAAAAATACTGATTTAGGAACCTGGAATGTACGATCTATGAACCTTGGGAAGCTGGATGTGGTCAAATATGAGATGGGAAGAAGAAACATTGACATCCTGGGCGTCAGTGAACTAAAATGGACGGGAATGAGCTATTGTGGGCAAGAATCCTATATATACTATTGTGGGCAAGAATCCCGTAGAAGACAGGGAGTAGCCCTCATAGTCAACAAAAGAGTGGCAAAAGCTGTACAAATCCAAGGCAGACCTTTCGACATCACAGTAATCCAAGTTTATGCACCAACCACCCATGCTGAAGAGGCTGAAACTGACCAATTCTATGAAGAATTACAACACCTTCTAGAACTGACACCAAAGAAAGATGTTCTTCTCATTATAGGGGACTGGAATGCTAAAGTAGGGAGTCAGGAGATAAAAGGAACAACAGGAAAGTTTGGCCTTGGAGTTCAAAATGAAGCAGGGCAAAGGCTAATAGAGTTTTGTCAAGAGAACAAGCTGGTCATCACAAACACTCTTTTCCAACAACACAAGAGGCGATTCTATACATAGAAATCACCAGATAGGCAATACCGAAATCAGATTGATTATATTCTCTGCAGCCAAAGATGGAGAAGCTCTATACAGTCAGCAAAAACAAGACCTGGAGCTGATTGTGGCTCTGATCATCAGCTTCTTATAACAAAATTCAAGCTTAAACGAAAGTAGGAAAAACCACGGGGCTAGTCAGGTATAATCTAACCAAATCCCTTATGAATAAACAGTGGAAAGAACAGATTTAATAAACTAGATTTGATGGAGAGAGTGCCTGAAGAACTATGGATAGAGGCTCGTAACATTGTACAGGAGGCAGCAACAAAAACCATTCCAAAGAAAAGAAAATGCTAAAAAGCAAAGTGGCTGTTCAACGAGGCCTTACAAATAGCAGAGAAGAGAAGGGAAACAAAATGCAAGGGGAATAGGGAACGTTACAGAAAATTGAATGCAGATTTCCAAAGAATAGCAAGGAGAGACAAAAGGGCCTTCTTAAATGAACAGTGCAAAGAAATCGAGGAAAAGAATAGAAAGGGAAAAAACAGATCTGTTCAAGAAAATTGGATATATTAAAGAAACATTTTGTGTCAGATGGTATTACACATCTGTAAGATTAGCAAAAATATCAGAGGGTAACAGCAATATATGCTGAAAGTGTAAAAAGAATGCAGGAACTTATTATCATATGCGGTGGATATGTGAAAAGGTCAAAAATTATTGGACACAGGTATGGGATGTAGCAAAAGAAATTACCCAGCAGAAATTAAATATAAAACCTGAAATGGTATTATTGAATGTCATATCAGGCATTAATGATAATAAATTGAAGCATTGTCTTATATATATATACTCACAGCAGTTAGACTACTCTGGGCCCAAAAATGGAAAACCGATGAGGTTCCAACGATAGAAGAGCTGTTAAAGAAGTTATGGGATACAGCAGAACTGGACACTCTATCAGAAGCACTACGGGAACAACCAAGAGACTATGTAAAACAAAGCTGGGAATGATATATTCTTGGGCCCAGAAGACGACAGGAGTGTAGGGCAAAGTTTATGATGCATGTATATCTTATTTAGCACATACTGGAAATGAAATTGGGGGAGCAGACGGGTTAACGAAGCTGGAGTCTCTGACTCCAAAGGGGGGAGGGGTTAGTTTTAGGGGTTTGTTTTTTCCCCTTTTTTTCCTTTCTTTTTTCCTTGCTTCTATTTTGTCTTGTTTTTTGTTTCTGTGTGAATAAAATTTAAAAAAATAAAATAAAAAAAAGAGAAAGCTTTTCTTTTTCTTTTCCTAAGCTAAAATGCTCTGGATCGCCAGGCTCCTGAAAAAGAGATTTATAGATGGGGGGCATGTTTGTGAACAACTGAAAGAATTATAAATCTAGGGAGATTAGACACACAGACAGAGGAATTCATCACATCACTGCAGCTCAATACTACTTTGGGCATCACACATCAAAGAGCAACAATCATGTAGCAGTGCAGAAGCTTCATTTCGAGATACCCACAACAATCAACATGGATTTTCCTCCATAGATTCAAGCTAGTTTGGCTGGGTGAGCATTTAGAATTATTTTGTGTGTGTTCTTAATATGCTTAGAGCCTAAGAACGTTATTTTCTTTTTTTTCAACAACTCTGATACTTTAAGAGGTGTATTCTTTGTCTTTTATTTTTAAATCTGCCTTTTTAAGGCAATAATCTCTTGCATTTTTAGAATGTAACTTAAAACGTTATTTTTGATATTTTATTGTATTTTTGCTCCTGTATTTTGGACTGAATTCTGACTTACGTATTTGTCTGCAACTTAAGTTTAATTTTGATATATTTTAAGCATTTATGGCTACAGTATTTCCATAGCTGTAAGACTGTTGAATATTTGAGATCTTATTTTTGACCTTATGAAACATAGAAGCGATGTAGAGAAATAAAACTTGCAGAATTAGAAAAAAAGAGAAACATTTTGTGCAAAGATGAATATGATAAAGGACAAAAATAGTAGGGACCTAACAGAAGCAGAAGACATCAAGAAGAGGCTGTAAGAATACGCAGAGGAATTATACCAGAAAGATCTGGATGTCCCAGACAACCCAGATAATGGGGTTGCTGACCTTGAGCCAGACATCCTGGAGAGTGAAGTCAAATGGGCCTTAGAAAGCATGGCTAACAACAAGGCCAGTGGAGGTGATGGCATTCCAGTTGAACTATTTAGAATCTTAAAAGATGACTCTGTTAAGGTGCTACACTCAATATGCCAGAAAGTTTGGAAAAGTCAGCAGTGGCCAGAGGATTCGAAAAGATCAGTCTACATCCCAATCCCAAAGAAGGGCAGTGCCAAAGAATGCTCCAAGTACTGTACAATTGCACTCATTTCACACACTAGCAAGGTAATGCTCAAAATCCTACAAGGTGCTGGAGGAGACCCTTGAGAGTCCCCTGGACTGCAAAGAGAACAAACCTCTCCATTTTGAAAGAAATCAACCCTGAGTACCAACTGGAAGGACAGATCCTGAAGCTGAGGCTCCAATACTTTGGCCATCTCATGAGAAAACTCCCTGGAAAAGCCCCTGATGTTAGGAAAGTGTGAAGGCAAGAGGAGAAAGGGACGACAGAGGACGAGATGGTTGGACAGTGTCATCGAAGCAACCAACATGAATTTGTCCAAACTCTGGGAGGCAGCGGAAGACAGGAGGGCCTGGCATGCTGTGGTCCATGGGGTCATGAAGAGTTGGACACGACCTAATGACTAAACAACAACAAGATGGAACTATTCGTTTCCAAACAATATTGACTGCTTGTGAACTGAAAGTCTTGAAAAATATTGTGGCTTTTGGTTGTTCCTTACAAAGGTATTCCCAAACAATTAATTTTCAAAAAAATATTTGGGATATATAACGTGCAAGTGTAAAATATCACCCTCTTATCTGTGCTCTAATTGTAATTTCCTTAGATTGCATCTTGAGTGTTTACAATTCTTGAGTGCTTACATTGTAAGGTACTGGTATTCCTAATTTCTTTCTCCAATGTTTTATCAAACAATTTTCATGATAAAATCTGACATCAAAATATATAAACAATCTAAAAGTCACCCTATTTCTCATTAATATTTCTAGATCCCTGCTTGAGTAATAGGTTTTCAAGAACAGGTCTTCATTTAAACTGTACAGAGCTTTGGGACTCTCCCATGAATTCCACCTTAGTTTTTTCTTAGTTCCATTTGCAAATGGCAACCCATGTCCTCTATGGCTTGTACTGGGTGAACTGGCAGGACTAAGTGAGAAATGCGACTCCACAATCCACTCAGTTTGTCTGTGTCCATGTGGTTGTAGGACAATGGTGCATCTGAGTTGGTGAATGTGTCCCAAAGGAAATCCCGCACATTTTCTTCCACTATCTGTGGGCTAACATTTCGCTCTAGTTTCTCATCCTCCAGCAGAACAGTAAAAATCAGAGCCACATCTTTAAAAGCTGCACTCTCATGGTCACAGTATTTATAAAAGATTAAGGTAGAACCTGCGGGCAGCAACTCAAAATGGTGCACCACTGCTGCTTTTCCTCCTCCACGAAAGCCAAAACTCAGCTTTTCATCCATGGCCAACTTTGCACTGTCGCTGCTGAGTGTAGATTTAGAAGCTCCATCGACATGGACTGTGCTACCCTTTAGGGACAATGAATAGGCATCAGCAATATGTGTGGTCAGGCACTTCAAGGTTGCTTCAGCATCCTGGGCAGCAGCAAAGATTAAGATAGCTGGCTCAGTGTGACGAGAAACATTGAGGTGCTTCTGCAGGACCTTCCGCACTCGGTCCCATAAGTAAGGGCTCTGGCCTGGGAAACTGTTCTTCAGTGGTTCAAAGCTTGACAGGAAGGCCTCTACGACTGGATTTTTTGGCATGACTGGGAGACGGGATGTGTAGAAGCCACTGGTGCTGATGAAAACAGCAACCAAAAGTATAATGACTGTCAGAAAAACTCCATGGGTGGTAAAGTCTATTAAATAAGAGTGGGGAAAGACAGAAAGTTATTCAGAAAAGAGCACGACAAGTACAACATATCCAACATGACAATGTGCTTATGGTAGCACAACAACCCAAAATAGACGTTATTTGGTTTAGGGAGTGGGGAAATTGAGAGAAAAACACATCCCCATCCCTCTACCTGGGACAGCTGCTCCCCCTTACATTGTCTGGCGAGAACTTTTTTTAATGAAAAATCCTCTCATGCACCCCAATACCCCCAAAAAATAAAACTACGGGTCTTGAAATATGGCAAAATTGATCCCCACACCATCTGGAGGTACAGAGAGACTTCTTTAGCCCCCATGTTTAAAAAGAAGAATTTAAAACCCTTCTGAACATATGTGGTTCTAAAGGGCCCTAAGACTGTTTGGGGGCAAACACAGACCTCAGGACTGCATGTGGCTAACAGGCGACATGTTCCCCACTCGGGTCTTAGCTTTCAAATTAGCACAGACCTCTTAGAAGAAAATATAACAAAGGTTCAAGCAGATAGTATAGTTTTAAAGACTTTACGGGAGTTATTAAAGGGTTTATTCAAGGTTTTTGAAACATTTTAGACCCATTTCTCAAAGAGATGTTTACTTCTTAAAAGAAAAGAAAAGTGGGTTTTTAAGAATAAGTGTGAACCGAAATTCCATAAGAACTGTGCTCAGGTGAGACTAGGTGACACCAGCAAGCACATATCAGGAAGAACAAGTGAACTCTATATAAAGGGCAAAGGTATTGTTACCTTGAAAAGAGTATGCATAGCTCTCTTTCAGTTTCACTGTGTTCTTCTTGTGTAAGGTACTGGCTTGCCTCTTCTGAATACAGTTCCGTTTCTGGTTTAAAAACAGTGTCCTACTTTTTTTTTTAAGATAGAGTGCAACTAACTAGATATAGCTTCTTCCATTATAAGAAGTAAAGTAGTTATCTAGCAACTTCATCAACCAATAAGATATGTACAAACAAGGTGTGGGTGGTTGCTTTGGGGATACTGTAAGAGTCAAACTACTGTAGATGCTTCCGTAACATTTATATTACACTCAAAAATATTTGGTAAACCTTTTCGAGGCACCACAACAAGAATTTATAACCAGCTGAGCAGCAAAGCAAAGCGTGCTGCATTTATACCACTCCTTAGCACTTAAAGCACTCTCTGGTGGTTTACAAGTTATTCATGCAGGCTGCACTTTGCTCACCCCCGCCCACAGTGAACTAGGTACTGTACTCAATCCACCTATTTTGGGAGAATGGAACACTGAGTGAAGCTGGCTACCTTGGACTGAACCCTGGGTCATGAGCAGAGTTTTTGCTACAATACAGAAGCTTAACCACGACACCACAAGGCTCAGTTCTTTCCACAAAGAGGCTCTCTAGATATCTGCAGGCTTCCGTCAAACTGCAAGGCACTTGTCAAGATATTCTATGAATAACTTTTCATATTTTTGAGACCTATTTTTTATTACAAACTTAAACTTGAAAAATTTATGGGTGTGTCAGATTACAAAATCAAAAGACTCTTAATGGGCTACTAAGAGTCAAGAGTTGTATGTCTGTCTTTGAGACCTTCAGTACTTACTGTTTGCTTCAAAGTTTGAGCCTCAATCTCCTGCTCCATTTAATGACAATGAACCCAAAAATTACCATTTCTACAGTATACCAGCTTTTACAGAATACAATCAATCTTATCAGTACAACTATTTTGCAATTTTATCGGTACAATTATTTTCTTCCAGTTGCTTGCTTTAAATCTCTTGGTCTTTTAGCTATTTTAATGGAAATTTTAGAGAAATATTTCTAAAATGGTTAGTTTTTTGAAAGTTTAGTTTAATTATTAAAAAAAAGAGGATGGGCCAGAGTATTTTATTTCTTCACCATGGGGGCTATTAAGCTACCTTGATTCCTTTTTAAGGAGAAAGGTGAGGTAAAAATATTTTAAATTAAAAAAATAAAATAAATATTGCCTTACCATCAGTCATGGATCTCTTTCTCTCTGTTCCTCTAGGTTTCCAAAGTAACGTTTCTTTTTTCTGGTTAAAATGAACCTTCGGGTGGTTTTCAGAACATTCCGAGTGTTGGCTTTGCTGACTCAGGGAACAACTTAATTTTTCCTCTAGAACGATTTCGGATGAGCTGCATTCCTTTTCCACTGGAGAATCTTGTACGGTAGCATGGGCTGAATGCTCAGACTTTTCATCTGACAAATCTACCTCATCTTCGCCTTTAAAACTAACTTCAGGGAAGGCAGTTACAACTGAAGAAATCCCTGCACTGCATCCTGAAATCTCACTCATTCCTGTTTTCTGGGGAGATCCATCAGAATCTAAGCACTTTTCCAGCCAGGAATTTTCTTTCATATCTTCTGATTCCTTTTGTTGTGTACTGGCTAGGCTGTATTCACTATTTGGAGACTGAAGAAACATCTGCTTCTGTGACATCAGTTCACCTGAGTAGTCAGTCTTCTCATCTGAGGAATCTACCATGTCTTTGTCTACTGAACTACCTTCTGGGAATACAGTTGTTCGGAGAGAAATTCTTAGACTGCAGCCTAGAGAGTCACTGGTCTTTGTTTTCTGAGAATCTCCATCAGAATCTAAGTGCATCTCCAACAAGGAATCTTTCTTCCTCTCTTCAGATGCATAATGTTGAATATTGGCTAAGGTATTTGTACCACGTGGGGACTGAAAAATAGTCTTCCGTGATGTCACATCATATGAACACCCTATCTTTTCATCTGAGAAATCTACCACATCTTTGTCTACAGAACTACCTTCAAGAAAAACAGATGCCACTGGGGAAATTTCTACAGTGCATCTTGGAGGCATACTGTTTTCTGTTTTCAGAGGAATTCCTTCAGAATTGAGGTGCATTTCCAACAATGAATCTTTTTTTGTTTCTTCAGTTTGATTTTGCTGTGTACTGACTAAGCTATTTTCACTATTCGGAGGCTGGAAGACTGTCTGTGATGTTGGCTCATCTTCTTTGAGCAACTCTAAATGGATCAACACATCAAAACGAAAACAAAAAAACAAAACCTCTGTTATATGATTGAGTGACTTAGAATTGTAGATTATTTATAAGCTTCAAAGTTGCTATGCACTCCAACAGCACCATACAGAGGAAGTACCATATTACATATCTAATGAACTGCTATAAGCTATTACTTTGAACAGTGTCTATTTTTATTACCATGTAGATGTTCTTACTTCTTGCTTCAAAATTAGTTTTGTTATTCTTTGTAAGCCCCATCAAAAGGTTTTGGCTGAAAGACTGCCTAAAATGTCTCTTTTAAAAATCTGCAAAGTTGTGTTGATTTTTCTCTTTGGTCCTATCATACATGTATCCTGTATGAAACCAAGTAGGTTTCCCCGCCTTGCATATTTTGGAATATATATGATTATAAGTTTTTAAATTCTCAGCAAAGGATAAAGAAAAAACTTAAAGCTGACTTTTCAACTGTTTGACTGTTCTGCTGGCCAGGCCCTGGTTAAAGTTAAGGAAACTGGGGAATAAGCACTGCCATGACAGGAAACATCTAAACTGATTTTCAGAGACAGTTAGAGCCCATACAGCTTTTTCTTCCCTTTCTTATCTTATTGAACCATTTGTTTGTTATGTGTCTTTCTGAACATGTTTTTAACTTAGGATGGTACTATTTTTTTATTGGAGAAGACTGTTTTCTGATGTGATACATGGGTTGTTGTAACTTAAAACTGTATAAGGGTTTGAAGAACCTGAGCAAAGCATTTATTTAAATTTTGCTTATTCTAACTCTCTGTATATTTGTTGTTAGTTTGCCAGCTCTTTCTCTTTGTCTGTCTGTTTGAATAAAGTAACTGGCTCCATCTTTTAATTTTCCACTTGGGCCATGAGTGACAATGGGTGGAAAAAATCCACAATACATCCTATCTTTCCTTATCTTATTGCCTGTTTGTTCGCTTCATTTCTAGGCAGTCTTTCTCCTAGTGAGGGAACCCATAGCAGCTCAAGTGGATGAAATAAATGTTCTAAGATATCAAAGATGACTGCCCAGTTCACTCTAGGCTTCTTCAGTAACTTCATGCCCAACACTATATGGGATTTAGCACACTGGCTCTTTAACTGCATGGTGCTCCAACTCCATTCAACCTATTCAGCAACACAGAATTTAGGCCTTCAGGTTTTAGTGGCAAGACAAAGTTGCTGGCCACAAAAATAAAGAAGATTCAATGATACAGCAACTGATGCTGAATTTCATGACTGTACCCACAAACCAGTTCCAGTTCCATATACAGTATTATTATAACTTCCACCAGATGTTTCTCCTAAAATCAAAATTTATGAAAAACTGTTGGCAGCCTTAAACTTGCTATTTGAAAACAAAAAACAAATAAGCCAGAACAAAAACAAAACCCAGCCCACTACCTTGTATATTTTGAAGACCACTCATATTTTGGGAAGGTTCAGCAGAGGTAAAACATTTTTCCATTCCCAACCTCTTAAAAACAGTCAACATCTAGTCATTGCATATAAAATCAGTTGAGATTTTAATTAACATTGTTAAATGAGCTTTGTCTTTGAATGTAACTTATTTGTTTTGTTATACTGATATGTTCCATTTGTTCTGAACAAACCAGTCACAGCACCTAGCCATACCTTTCTGAACAGTTTGTGTAATCTCTGCCATCTTCTCTGGAATTCTGATTTCTCGGTTTGTTTAGTTCCACTTTCTGGCTGAGTCAAAGAGCAGCCTTTTGTTTATTTTGAGGGCTTGGCAGACTGCAAGCAGGTCACACATAGCATCCCCCTATGGTCTTTGAAATTGTGTGTTGTCCAAGTACAGAGAAACACTACAATAAACAGCAAAAATGCAAGTGAAGCATTAATGTAGGGCCATCTTACTGATTAAGAGCCTTCCCACACTGGCATATAGTTATAGTATATGGAACCCTGATGGCACTGTTCAATATGGGAAAAAGACCCTGTCTGCTCATGTTTCTAGAATGATCCATCCATCCCATCCTTCTGCCTCCCCAACCTTCACTCCAATGTTCGCCCCTCACACTGCAGCTGTCCTCAACTGCTGTTGCTGTTGTTTCCTTACTCATAAGTAAACCAAGTAAAACTTGTTTTTAATGGATTTGTAACAAAGGAGAAGAGAACATGCTTTCCTGTCCCTCCACAGAGGACGAAGAAAAGTGTGTACTTGACAGCTGATTGGGTTACAAGAGGTTGTCTGCTGTGGCAACAGAAGGAGAATGCCCAATGGCACATTACTCCCTGCACACACAAACACATTGCTCTTCTATCGGCACAAGCAAACACACATGCCTGAATTGCTGCTAATACATTCTCATGCAAAAAAAGTAGACGCCTCAACAGTGGAGTTAAAAATATAGAATAGGAGGAAAGAACTTCAGGTTAGTTTGCATTGATCTGTGTGTCGTGCAGACAATGGAAAATACTATGAATTTAACTGTGGCAGTTCCGGAGCAATTCCTGTACTATATGTCAATTCTTGTAGTAGCCCTCTTAATATGCCTAATACAAGGCCTTGGTTGGATCCACAGCAGAACTTAACAAGGTTCCACTTGCACTGGATTCCTTCTGGTGGGAGACCTTACAGAGCAGCATTGGACGGCATTGGAGGGAGAGGCCAGGGCACTCCCCACCCTACCTACTAAGGAGCTTCTGCTGAGCCCTAGTGCCTTTTATGAATGTTAGGAGCCAATCAGCTCATGTTGTCCACAACCTAATACACATACAGTATAAAATTAAATATTAAAAAAAATATCAAAAAATTAAACAAACTAAACAGCTACTGATAAAAACAGAAGTATTGATTTGAGAGTATGATCAAGAATACAAACTACACATGTTGGGAACAGCTGTATCTTGGGGACTAATTATTCAAATATGTTGAAATACTCAAGAATACCAACTGCGGCTCATTCACAGTTACAAATGGTTTATATTTCCCTACATCAGCACACTAGTAATGTATGTAGGTACACAAATACTTTCAGATGGAGAGGAGAAAAAGTGTTTGTGACTGTAGGTGTGTGCGCAAACGCAAGGGGGATGTGTCTTTCTGCAGGCACACATAAAGCAGACAGCAGGAGTAGCTAGGTGTGCACAAAGCCTCATTCACCAACACATGCAACCCTGAGATAAAAAGTTAGGTATCTCTGGAAGGCAGAAGTCAGGTAAATTGTGTTGAAACTGTTAAACCTACAACTGAGAGCATCTGAGATACAGAATGTTATGGTGTCATAACTTGAAAAAAACTGTTATTGGAAAACAGCAGAAAGGAAATTGGAAAACAGGGGAAGAGAGGGAACTAGCGTGCTCAGACCATTTACCATGCTAAGTATCTTGTAGTAGGCAGGATTAGGATTTGGGGAAATGTGTGCAGTGAGATTAAAAATCTCTATAGGTTATCACACCTTAAGTCCATCATAATTGAAAGGCACCTGGTTAGAAGTTCTCTCACATCCCCAAGCCCAACTGCTCACATTGAAAGACACTTCTCCTAATAATAATCATAATGTGCTGTCCAGTCAATTCTGATTTCCAGCAACCATTTTAAAGGATTTACCCAGTAGAGAATGCCCAGAAGTGGTTTACCATCCATATCTTCTGGGGTTGCCCTGGGACTATACAGCTTGCCCAAGGCCACACAGGCTGGCTACTTGCAGGATGAACAGTGAGTGGGGAATCGAACTCCCAACCTCTGGCTCCAGAGTCAGACACCTACACTTCCTAGAAGGGTTAATAAATAAAGTATTTCTTTGTCGAAAGTGGGTTTCATTGGCCATTTTCTGTGCTTGCTTATGTGTGCTTTTTAAAAAAAGCATATTAGCATTGAACTTGTATAACTTAAATCCTAAATTTGGAGACAGAATTGTTACTCAAAGAGCAAATCTTATGTGTAAGGACAGCAAACCGATGAACGAGGAAGAGAGAGAGAGTGACTCTCCTGCTCCTGAATACAGGTCTTCGTTTGCAAGACCTGAATAGGGTAGTTAACGACAGGATTTTTTTTTTTGAAGGCACTAACTCACGGAATCACCATAATTCGGAAGAAGCAGGCTTGAATACAATGTGGGATTTGGAATTCCGTAAATTATGACGGCTGACTATCAAGTGGCACTACTAATCTAAAATTCGGCTATTTTTAAAAAATTTTCTTACCACTTCTGGGGTGTTCTTCCTGGTCGTTCTCCCTCCGACTACGACGAGACGAGACCTCCCCTTTTCTCTGCAGTGACAGTTCCTTCAGGCAGGCCCTTCTGTTCAGCGGGTTTCTCTGTCCTTCGTTGCCTCCGAGGCGGCTGTTTTCGGCCCAGGACAATTTTCTAACTTCCCGGAGACAGAGAAGCCGAGCGCTCCCAGTCACATACTAGTAGCCTTAATTTCTGTATACGTCAACAAGGTTTGTCCCCATTCTACGAGGCTTCCCGGTGGAATGCTGGGACATGTAGTTTCGTACCTCCTTTTTCGTGTATGAGAAAAGGAAAGCTGTAGAAGCCGGCTTCTCAGCGGTTGACTTGGTGGCGCGGCTCGGTCGAGATTGAAGCAGCAAAGATATCGGGCCGATGAGGGCAAGGTTCTTTCCAACTTGGAAGGGTCCACTTTGTCCACGTTTGCTTGTTGAGCGACATCTATTTTATGCCTTATCTCTTAAGGAGGGAGCGGTCATAGTATGCTCGTACTTTGATAGGAGAGGACAGAGTATTCATTCTAAAGACTAAAAAATGGGATGGCCACAGATAAAAGAGGACAAGCTTCCTGCTCTTTAATACTTTGGAGGCCTTCTGAAACAGTCTTGCCAAGAAATTAATATATTAAAAGGCGGGGGGGGGGAGACTTGAGACAGATGTTATCAGTTTAGTTAGGCTGACAGGGAGAAAAACCTGAGCCAAGATAAACTGCTGTGTAACAGGTTTAATAAATGCAGCATTGTTCTAACTTCCTAAATCTACAAAATGTTTTTCATATGGAATTACTTTTAAAAACAGGATGGGGACCCTTTAGTTATCCAGATGCCTTTGATCCACAACTCTCATAATTCTTTACTATTAGCCATGCTTGTTAGGGTTTGTGGAAGTGGCAATTAAAAAATATGGAGAACCAGGTGTTCCTCAACTCAGTCACGTGTTGCAAAATTTTGATTTTTTTAAATTAAATTCCTTTATCTGTGCAGCAGAAGTGCAGAGATTTATAGAGCAGAATAGCTTCAAGTTCTCCAGACTAGTCCACCCCTTACTACAGATCAACAGCAAACTGACAAACATGTCTGCTTTCAGCAACAGACTTCAACAGACTCAAGAGTGCACAACCAGGCATCCTTGGGAAGACCACAAGTGGGACAATTAAGATCTCTTTCTACTACTCCCCAGTGACTGGTAGTTAGAGGCATTATGGTGGTAGTGGTAGACAGAGGGTGGTGGTGGTGATCCTGAATGTGGAAGGATTATTGCATAATACTGGTTTTTAAAGGACTACTAATCTAATGAAATTGAATACAGAATACACAAGAGCTCACATGCCAAGAAGTCATGCACCTCTAATCTTAATAATAATATTGTTTTGTGTTTATAAAATTGTTGTCATGTATATTATATTTAATGAAGAACGAGAAGAGTGTTTCTTGCCTGTAGTTTACATAGAAGCAGGCTTCTGCAGAGCATTCATGTTGTCTAGACTGAAGCTGCTCCCCTCAGCCCTTCTTCACGGCAGACTTAAGGGAATCTCATGCCAAGAAAGATTTTGCCCTTCTGGAAAAGCCCCCCCCATCCCGAATTTCTTGAGCATACACTTTTACACTGCCCATTCTATGAACAAATCAGGAATAACCTAATCCTGTCCATTGCTGAACAAGTTCCAAGGCTACTCTTCCAGCTGGTTACTACAATACTGCTTATTAGACCAAAACTCTTACACCACAGCACAGGTAGCAAAGTTTTTCCTAGCTGCAATGCGTAAGAGGGCAGAGTTTGTCCTATCCCCCTGAAGTCCCTCTCATTATTTTACTGTATACCTTCTTTCTGTATGGGTCATATGACTGCAATAAATTGAAAATTGGAAAAAAAAATAAGGTAATATAATCTAAGATCAGATATTGTCCTTTCACTGGCTCCTGTGGTTCACATTGGAAGGGTGCTTTAAAATTTCTCTTCTGATGACCTACATTATTTTCCCTTGTAAACAGCTCCTGGGCGGGCCTTCCGCCTGCTTTTTTTTGTTTGCTCATTGCAGGAATAGAAAATTTTTGGGAGATTGACCATGGCTTGTTTCGCTTGAGGGCACCCTTGTCTTGGCAACAGCTAAAATGACCCAGCTCTCTCCTTGTTTAGCTTGTTATCCTCCCCGGAAAACGACAGGAGAGGCATTGAGGCAGGAATGACGGGATCCAGAAGCAGCTGTCTGTCAAAAGTTGGAGAGGATTAAGTTAGCTTTCATCCATCAACGAAAGTGGTGCGTGGTGATAGGTGGGTTTCTTCGGGGAGAAAAAATATATATAGGGAGTTTAAAACAAGCGTAGGGAGAGAGTGAACGACATACGAAGGCAGAAAGCAAGCGGTAACTTGAGGAGGATCTGTTGTCAACATTGAGGGGAAAGGAGATGAATGTTTGCACTGATCTTTCGGTCTGCGTTGCGGAGACAAAGGAGATGTAGAAGAAACAAAGATGCAAAGCAGACAACAACGCTAACAACGTAGCCGGGGGGAATTAAGTTATCCCGGGACGGGGAGAGCGATACGGTGCACTGCGCTAAGGAGAAAACAAGTGAAGGTGAGCTGGAACGTTACATCCTGACTAGGGGAGCCATGTTCGGAGAAAAGACAGACGCTTCTCTGGACTCCCCCTGCGAGAGTGGGGAAGGGGAGGAAAAAGGAGAGGCGGGAGACGAGGGGCTGGAGGAGCGACTCTTCTATCACGTGACTCCCAGGCAGCCTCTCAGGAGAACGGGCGCTCAAAATGGCGGCGGCCGGAGTGATGGTGGGCTTAGACCGCGCACTTCCACCCCATACTATCATGGCGGAGGCCCTCACGGACGGCGGAGGGAAGTGAGGTTTTCTGAGAAAGTGCTGGAGCATTCGGCTGAAGAGGGCACGCCGTGGCTGCGCTCTGTAGCGACCCCAGTCAGAAGGCAGAGGAGAATGAGGGCGGCTGCTGGGAAGGAAGTCGGACTGAATGAGGAAGAGCCGCGAGTGGCGCCCTATAGCCTACGCTCTTCCCAGAGATATCCTCCAACACCCTTTAGGGAGAAGGAGATGGCACAGGAGCAGCTGCCTCGGGAGGAACCGACTGGCTCTTTGGCAGGTGAGGAGGATGCTGTCGCAATGAGTGTCTGAACAAGCAAGGGATAGGTTTCCGTTCGTATTAATATTTGCCTCGTTTCCTCCAGTAAGTTTAGGCGACGTACTTGACTCTAAACATCTCCGCGAGATAGGTGAGCCTGAAGCAGATCGACTGGGCGGGGGGGGGGGG